GCCGGGAGGATTCTAGCTATGAGCTCCTTGAGAACAGATGGGCAGCTAGATCTCAGATGCTCATACCCATCACTTGCTATCATTGCCTCGAAGTTGGACCGAGAAGCAAGGAACCGCAAACAAGCTTCTTTGAGACGATGGAAGCCATGCTGCTCGGCTAAAGCCAAGCTGGTGGCCACCATCTTGGAATTAATGTGATTGCACAATTTCTCCTCACATATCTGCTTCAGCCTGACGATGTTGTATCTGTCAGCTGCTACCAGCAGATGGCCAGCCATAACCACATCAGCTTCGCCTTTGTTGCTAGCCATCTCAAGCACAGGAACTGAGTCGGTGTATATGAAGTGGAGCAAGGACTTGAACACATCAGGTTCCATGTCATGAATTTTAATAGTACTAGCTGCAGAACTCTCCTTGGCGCTGAGGAGCTCCGCCTTGAAGACTGATGAGCGAGCAGCAAGGACACACCTGTGGGCCAAGAAACTTTGTGCGCCGACTTCAAAGGTTAGGTCTGCAGCGTCCTTGTTCTTGAGGAGGTCGGCGAGATGCTGGTGCATGTCAGTTGGAGGAATATTTGCCTCTTGGCTCTTGAACTCCCTGATGGTGACATCGCACCTTATGGTGAGACAGTCATTTCTCAGATGCACCAATGCCTCCAGATCAGCCTTATTGATCATGAGTGGGTAGCTGTAGTCTGAACCTTTTGAGAATGTACGCATGGGATTAGTATGGCTGTATGAAGGAACGGCTTCTCCATTCTTGTCAAGTACAGCAAGCACGTATTTCGCCTTCACGCCTTCGGCATCAGCAGATTCAAGATGCAGATAAAGAAAGATGAACTCGGCATAATTCTTAAGGACACCGTTTGGGTAATATCTCACGGTCCACTTGTGACCTCCAACACTGAATGGGGTAGAAATCACAAGCTGGCCGTTGTTGAGTAGCGCCTTGGCTCTCGAGTATCCATCGAACTTGAGCACAAATGACCTTTCCTCAGATACCATGGCCGCAGAGATCTTGCATAGCTCTGCCATTCTGGGGGTGGGCTTGGCTTGGTAGATTGGACTAGCAGGATGGAAGACTGGCGAGCAAAGATTTTACGGAATCATGTACCTATATATAGAGGTGCACTTGGGAAGTTAAATCCATCGGTTCACATTCAGTCAAACAAAAAATAGTGGCCTCTTCGCATCTCGATCTAAATGTTTGCGTCCGCCTGCCTGCCTGACATTTACTACTCGATTACCTTCACCAGTAGACGCCACTGCACTGCAAACGAAGACAAGCCAAACAAAACATTTTCATCTGCCGATACAGTGCATGCAACAAAGATGATCAATGTGACTCAAATCAACAGTCATAAAAAAACTTTCATCTGCCTATATAAAAAAAACTTTTCTTCTTTTTGCGAAAAACAATAAACTTTTCAGCTGCCAATGCTTCACCTCCCACAAAATGGCAGAGCGCTTTGCTGAGAACAGAAAATCGGCAAGAAAGAACTATACGATCTGCAGTATACTCCGGGAGTAGTATAATTCAGAACTCGGAAGCATCCTGACCATTTGGAACACCAATGACAGTATAATCCAGTTGAATGTGTTGCAACTTGCAGATATAATTCAGAACTTTTGGTCGGCCGAACAACAGTCAAAGGGTTATACCAATGAAAGCACTATATAATCCAGTTGAATGTACCGGCCTGAATGAATCATCATGCACACCACAAGGACATTTTCATGATCACGTTTAGCATGTTAAGAAACTCAATTTTAGCGTGTTTTCTCTATACTCGACCGCAACAACTTTTTCTTCCTCCCGCCAATTTAGTCAACAAGACAGCAACCAGATTAACCTTTGGCGCTAGTTTCACGGCAGTTAACTTGTTTCTCCTACAATACTTTAAAACGGACTTTTCAAAAACTAAGTCTGAAGCCTGAATAACCCTCAACAGCATACCAAGTCCTTAACACAGCAGCAATACCAGCGATATTCAAAGGGGAATAACAATCAATGACCCTCACAACTTCTCGGAGTATTAGCTAACCGAAGATATTATAATCAGTGGTTGAGGATTACATGCAGATTTTTTTATTTTATTTTTGCTTAGTGCTTTAAACTGAACTACAGTACAACACATGATCCTAAAATCCACATAAACGAGCAGGGGGTAATGAAGCTTCTATTTGCTGAAAAAAAAGGATAAAAACAGTCGTCTAGACAATCCATGCAAGGCATTGAAAGACGGATGACCCTAATTCTGCATCCAGCTGAACCTAACCATGCACCCATGAAGTAATCGAGTAATCGACTCAATAATAATAAAACTAATGCACGGTGGATAATCAAGGATACAAGACACGCACATGGGCAGTCTCTATAATACTTTCTTTTATCTCACAAGAAAATAAAATAACCATTCCCATCACGTGAGTGATTGGATGATTGAAAAGTAGCATTTTTATTTTGAAACATACACGATACATGGAGATGTAGCATAATATCCTTTGGTAATAAAATTTGGATGACAGTATATGATAATGGTATATGGCAGGCATTACTTCCACATTGTCATGATAATATCCTTCGCTGATGTAAATTCAGCCGGGATGATTCTAGCTATCAGCTCCTTAAGAACAGCTGGGCAGCTGGATTTCAGATGCTCATAGCCATCACTTGTCATCATAGCCTCCAAATTGGACGGAGAAGCAAGGAACTGCAAACAAGCTTCTTTGAGACGACGGAAACCATGTTGCTCAGCCAAAGCCAAGCTGGTAGCCACCATGTTGGAATCAATGTGACTGCACAATTTCTCCTCGCATATCACCTTCAGCCTACCAATGTTGTACCTGTCAGCTGCCACGAGTAGATGTCCGGCCATCACCACATCAAGCGCTGGAGGAACCGAGTCGGTGTATATGAAATGGAGCAAGGACTCGAACACATCAGCTTCCATGTCCCGGATTACAATGGTACTACCGGAACTCTCCTCCATGGCGCCGAGGAGCTCTGCCTTGAAGACGGAAGACCGAGCGGCAACGACACACCGATGAGCGGAGTATCTCTGTCCGTCGACTTGAAAGGTCATGTCCGCTGCATCATTGCTCTTCAGGAGATCACCGAGATGCCGGTGCAGGTCGCTTGGAGGAACCATTGCTTCTTCGATCTCCTTCATAACGGTAACATCGCACCTGATGGTGAGACAATCGCCTCTAAGATGCGCCGATCCCTCAAGTTCATCCTTCGGGATGAAGTCATAGTAGCCACAGGTTGGAGCTTTCTTGGAGAAAGTATTCACAGGGGTGGTACGGGTGTACGAAGGCACCGGATTACCATTCTTGTCAAGCACATTGAGCGTCAATTTCGCCTTCACTTCTTTGGCACCGGCAGATTCATGGTGCACATAAAGAGATATGAAATCGTCACAATACTTGGGGCAACCGTTCGGGTAATATTTCACGGTCCAGTTGTGGCCTCCAACACTGAAAGGGGTGGAAGCGACGAACTTGCCGTTCTTCAGTAGCCCCTTCACTCTTGAGTATCCATCTATTTTGAGCACATATGACCTTTCCACGGATTCGGCTACCATGGCAGCAGGAATCTTGCAGGGCTCTGCCATTGCGGAGGTGGGCTTGGAGTAAGATGGAAGACTGGCGAGAGGAAAGATTCGTTTTGCTGCGCCTAGCGATATCTATTCCTTCTCGCCGTCGTCCGGTGGTGTCGCCGGAAGCACGCCGCCGCTGGCGACAGGGATTGGAGGATGTGGCGATAGGGCGTGGGGAGGGAGCGCCGGGGCGGGGATTGGGAGAGGGTGGAGGTCGACGGCGGGAGATGATAGCAAGCAGGGAGAAGCTGAGCGCGGCGGCGGGAGCGGAGGGGATCGGGGGGAGAGGCACGCCGGAAAAGGGGTGGCGGCGGAGCGGAGAGGGGATTAGTGCCTTAGGTTTTCTGCTGATGCCATCAAACCATATTATCCAACAACCTAGATTGCTTCGGGTACAAGCAATCAACATATTCCCTCTGTCCGGAAATACTTGTCATCAAAATGGATGAAAATGAATGTATCTAAAACTAAAATACATCTAGATACATCCATTTCAATGACAAGTATTTTCGGACGAAGGAAGTATTTAACATGCAATTAATATCATATCAAATATTGATATCGGCACTTACCAAAAACAATGTATGCATTAACTCATTCAAATTAAATTTTGAAAAAAAATCTGAATCAAATCGGCACTTAATAAAAACAACATCATGCATTAACTCATTCAAATCGATCGACATTTTCCAAAACAATGACATGCATTAACTCATTCGAATCAAATCTTAACCAAATCGACACTTAATAAAAACAGCATCATGCCTTAACTCATTCAAATCAAATCTTAAGAAAATCTCAACTAAATCCAAAGTTTTCTTGTACTCATACTCAAATCAAATCAAATCAAATCTTGCCAAAAAAAACCAACTACGATCAAACTTGGCCGGCCCATTTGACGCGTGCACGCATTTTTCTAGTTTTTTTTCTATGTTTCATTTTTTGGTTTCATTTTTATTTTTATTTTTCTATCACTAACCTATTATTTTGTGTTGGCATCTCTACTCTTAAAAGGACAGTACCTAGGTCGTTCCTTTGTTTGTTGCTGCCCTCACCATTGATCGATAGGACCCCCTCGATCCCACTCCCACCGATTTTCTTTTATCCACGACCACCACCGATTTTCCTTCACCAGCCCCATCGTTTTTTACTCAACGAACCTTCCATTCCCAAAAAACCCGAACCTTCCGTATACTCGAGCAGCAAGCCGCCCGCCCCTCCTCGCATGAGCCACTCCTCTCCCCATTCCTCACACCCCCTAGGGTTCATTGTATCGCAGTCGCACAAGACTTCTTGGACCATCCCCGCCTCCTGCAGCTCTGACCCCCACTTATTTCCCCGTGCACCGCCCTCGGGCCACTCCTTCCCACTCTCCTTCCTCGCCTTCCCTGTTGCTACTTCTGAGCTGCGTTGGGATTTTCCATGAAGAGAAGGGAAGATGCAGTACAATAGAGATAAATATTCCCCTCAGTGAGAACCAAGGTTTATCGAATCAATAGGAGAATCACGCAAAGCCTCGTGAACATCACTTGCACACACAAAAGCAAATACTTGTCTCTATTGTGGCGACTCAACTGGTAGCTGAATCTGCGGCGGGCACCACCTAGCTCGGTGGCCAACCTCACCGCACAACAGACACTTGGCTCTGTTGGTGCACTTGGCAATCCGGTGGTCAGGCTCAAGACACCTAAAACACTTGCCCCTCGCTTTCTTGAACAAAAGCTCTTTGAACTAGCTGGCCTTGGGCTCACGATGCAGCGGCGGGATCCGGTGATAAGGAGGATGCCTCCCCCTCCCCACCATATTCCATCCACCCTCATCAATATGGGCAGGAGGCATAGGCGTAGAAGGCAGTGAGGGAACAATGATTACAGACTGCAGATGCCTCCTATGCCCCCTCCCCCACAGCCGGCATTGAAGGCACCTCAGCACCCGCACCGCTCTGCGCCAGCAGGGCGTCCAGGAACGAAGCAAGAGCAGATCCTTCGCCCGCGGGCACGAAGGGCGCGGACGACGAGGCCATGTCGACTTAATAGGCTAGCAGGCGTCCGGAGAGACGGTAGAGCGCCGCTGAGAGGGCGACGCAGGGAAGGCGAGTGGAGCCGGTTATTATTTTTTCACTTTTCCTTTTTTAAGAAAGCTCCATTTCAAAAAATTGTTCCGAAATTTTCAAAAGAATGTTCACCTTATCATCTATATTTCAGGGAACTTCAAATAATGTTTGGAGTTTAACAAAAAAAATCATGTTTTCAAAATGTATTCACAAAGTTAAAAAAAGTTCAATGGTTTTTAAAAATGTTCATGCTTTCAAAATATTATAGATTTCTTTAAAAAATATCGCATTTAAAAATCAGAAATTCAGAAGTTGTTTGTGTTTGATGTTTTTTTAAAAAAAATCAAAATTTCAAAAGATGTGCCCATTTCCAAAATTTGCCACAAATTCAAAAAAGGGTAATTCTCGAAAAATGTTTAGCTTCCCTGAAAATAATCAGAATTTTCAAAAAAAATAATAGCGGTCTATAAAACTGTTTGATTTTTTTAAATGTTCGCATGTAAAAAAATTGACTTGTTATGTTTTTGGTCTTCTTAAAGAAATGTTCAAGATTTATAAAACCGACAGGAAATGCTACAATGGCCGGTTCGCTACAATGGATCGGCTTGCAGCAATGTCCGGTCTAGTATAGTGAATCGGCCGCCACAGTACACCAAACCCTACAGCGCGTCGGTTTGTACAGTGCTTTGCGTCTAACATGGTTAGCCCAGTAGGGAGAGTGCATGTGCGAAGCGACATCTGTTTGACGCAACGCGCGTCACATAGGCGCTATGCCGCACAAACCATCACGGTCAAGACTGCTCATCTGCACGCGATCGTGCGCGTACGCGGTAGGGCACGGACTGACGGTCCCGACGCACGGGCACCGGCCGGAGACACTGTCGCACGGGCAGAAAATAGTGAGCAGAGAGCGGCGGGCGGCGGGCGGCGGTCGGAGCCGGTGATCGGTCATCCATCTAGTGAGCTACTGATACAACCAGGTGAGGTGCCGGCCGTCGACGTGCACGGTCCGCTTCGAATCACGCATTTCCTTCCTTTGCTTAAAGGCGCATGTGGGAATATATACTCGTCGTGTATAGTCAGTTTTACCACCACTGCACGCTAGGTCAGATATGCATTCCACCACGAACTCACTCACCACTAGTAAAAAACGGGCCTATTGTCCCGGTTTGTAAGGGCCTTTTGTCTCGGTTCCTAAAGCGGGACTAAAAGGTCGTTACTAATGTCTTATCCCTTTAGTCCCGGTTCAGTCCAGAATCGGGACAGATGGGCCTTCACGTGGCCTGTGCGCGGAGCCCAGGCAGGAGGGCCTTTGGTCCCGGTTGGTGCCATCAACCGGGACCAATAGGCATCCACGTGTCAGCGTTTCTGTGGTTGGGGTTTTTGGTTTTTTTTTTAAGGGGAGGGGGGGAGGGTTTGGGGGTTTTGGGGGGTTAATTTAGGTGTTTCATATATTGTGTTAGCTAGCTATAATTAATAGAGAGAAGTGTTCTCTCTTATGTCCGTGCTTGGTCGACGCTACGTATTATAAATACGTATAGAGAGGACTAGACACGCTAGCTAGTTAGTAAGCAAATGAAGGAAACAGAAGATCGTCATGAACATATATGCATACAGAGAGAAATGATATCAACCACATCTCCTTCTCCGACAGATTGGTCGAACAACAAGTTCTCGTATATCTATCCGACACTACCGGCTACATATATACAATAATTATCTCTTACAAATATAATCTTCTAACATACGGTCGCATGGTCCATATAGTATTCTCCGTCTTCAGCGATCACATGGTCAAGAAAGAATGCCGCCAATTCCTCTTGAATTGCTCGCATGCGAGCTGGTGCTAGGAGTTCATCCCGCTTCCGAGACATCTAATTTGAAGAAGGGGGTCAATACATATATATATGAATGAATGAAACTCAACACAAATGATGGTAATAAAATAAAATTGTGAATATTGTTATTTACGCACTTCATATTATTCGTCAGAGTAGCCCCGCTCACAGGTCGTGTGGCGGATGGACTCGCAAACGTAGTATCCACAGAAATCATTCCCTTATTCCTGCCACAACCACTTTACAAGAAATAGAGGTCAATCAAACTGATAAGCAAGAATTCCAAATGGTATTGATGAAACTAGCGCTTGAATCACTAGGAGATGCGCGGAACATGCTACTATAGTACTTACTTTCGGGTGTCTAAATTCCAGCTTCTTCGGCAGTCCCGGAGATTTTTTGGTGAATTTTCTCCAAACTCTGCCAGACAAAGAAAACAATTACTTGATATCAGAAATGAACAAAGTTGCTGATATGGTGGATAATGATCGATTTAACTTACTTCTCGAGCATTTGAGTCATGTCCGCATACTCCTGGGGATCTTTTCGTTTAGAGTTCAAGACAGTTACTACTCCCTGCTCAAGCTTAATCTCTAGGAGAATATAGTGAAACCTGCGCACGCATGCATAACTCATCAATTATATTACTATAACCTTGACTAATATATAAGGGAAACCGAATATGCACAAGACAGTAACACTCAATTGAAGTTGTAAGGAAAGAGTATTACATCTTTGTTTTCATTTATTACCAACGATCATAGCAAGTTGGCCTCGGTATTTGCGGTATGAAATTTAACCTCAGTTGCATCTATGAGATTTGTGTTAATGACCCCAATATCACCGATTTGTCTTTTCTTCAATTCGACGATCTTCAATCTGCATAATATAGTGAGGATAATTATAAATACATGCAATGAAAGAGCTAAGCTATATAGAGAGACTTAATTACAGAAGTAGTACTACTTACAGACAATAGCAGGTGACCGTTGCTTTATCGAGGGCCAATTGATTGAAAAACTGAAAGAACTCCTCAAATGGAACAGGCAACAGTTCAATTCCAACGAGGTCATACTCCTTTTTAACTCTCACATACAAAGTATTCCTCCCCCCAGACTCTCTGC